AACTTATTGAATTTTTAATCATTTCAGAAATTGCAAGTTACTAGAAATACAGAAGAAAATGTTATAGAAAATGAACGAAAAAAATATCGTAAGTTTTTTTAAATTCATAAGATTTCTTTAATAATGTCAAATATTTGATAATTATTTTATTTTTGTTAGTGGAAACACATAAAAGTAGCTTTGAAAGTTTAATCAAACAGATAAAAAGTATAGACTCTTCAAAAAAACCACCTGCATGGTATAGTTCACTCAAGGAAAATACAGAGAGTAACGAAGATATTCCATGTAAGCGTCAAATGATTACTGAAAATTTGAATGATTCAATGATCTATACCAAAGAAACAGATATTCAGTTGTCAAATTCTGACATATATATTCCGGATTCTGATTCAGATACTTCTTGTCCATTGCAAATGTATTCTAGTTTTGATCCGAAAAAATTTCTCAATGTAGAATTATCTTCCCCCAATGATAATGTTTTACGGAATAAATCAGAGAATGATCAAACAACTATTGTTCAAGAAGGATCTATGTTTTCTAATTATTCGCCCATAAAAACAAATGAGGTAGAAAAAAGTGATAGTTCAGATGCACTTAGCGATACATCTATTTATGATAAAGCAACACAGTCAGTTATAGAAAACTCAATTTCTGAGGATACATTGAGAAATAATAATTCTAAAAGTTCATTGAATAGTTCCAAATATAAAAAACTGTTACAAAGAAAAAAGAAGTCGTTAAAAGACGAAATAAAACGCATGGACGTTGTTACTACAAATATAAAAGATGTTGATTCTGATAGTATTTCAAACCAAGAGGAAGAAGATGAGAGTTCAAAATCTCTCTTACAAGACATTGTATCAAGCAATGATGATAGTAAATTTAATCATGGTATGTAATATATTTTTATTAAAAATTTATCAAAGTCGAGCTTTCATAATATTGCATAAAAATTAATACGTTTACAGTCCGCTAGTTTAAATTTACACTTGAACTACAAGTGTTGAACAGTGATTGAATTGAATATAATATAAATCTTAAAATGTTCATTACGGTATGGATGATATAAACGTATTTCTTATTTGGTTTTAGAAGGAAAGACATTTGGATTGTGAACGTATTAAATAACTTTTAAAAAATGGAAGTATTTCATAGTATAGTATTGATCAAAAGTTTTTTATATTAAAAGATTATACTAAAAATTTAAGGTTAATGTGATATTGAAATGTAACAAAACATATTAAGAATGGATTAGAAGATTAAAATCATCTAAAACAATCTTGCAGGAAAATTACGTTCTACTAGCTATGAATTTTTAAATAGTGAAAATAATTTTTCAAATTTGGAAAAAGAAAACATGAGTTCTCCTGAGTGTAGTAGCAATCGTTCTTTGCGAAAGAGAATTCGTGATTCAACACAAATTGATAATAAACTCATGTCAAATAGAATGAAAAAAATTAAAAAATCGTCTCAATACTCTACGATTGAAAAGAAAGAATTAAATAATGAAGAATCTTTATGTATTTTGAATGACGAAAAAATCAACGAATGTTTGACAAATAAACCACAATTGAGAAAACGACTGTCAACTATTACAGAAAATGGTAACGTTTTAAGAAAATCTGCCAGAACAAAGCTTAAAAATAATAATTTATAAAAATAAAATCAATTTTTTAAATAAATTTTTTATAGATATTGCTCTCATCGCTATATATTTTGCAAATTTATATATTAGTCTATTTATCTTCGACAAAGTTAAAAGATATATATATATATATGTGTGCGTGTAAATAATTTCATTTTTGTGTGAAAAGTGATTTCAAAATGTGACAATATATATAATATAATTGTATTATTTTTGCATTAATTTATTTCATACTTGACTTTATTATACATTAAATGTTTAATTACAATTATATGTTATTTACATGATCTAGTATTAAATACAAAAGAAAGTAATCATGTATTACTATATTCTCCTTTTCTTCTGAATGAAATAATTTAGCATAAATAAATATATTAAAAAAAACTACAAAACTGTTTATCAAAGACACCAAATTTTATTGAATATATTACAGTGTTTTGATCAGAAAGGGATCAACAATGGTAAAATGATGACAAACACATGAAATTTTACATCTCATCTTTGTATAGATATTAACAATAATATAAGAAGCCTAACTTACTTAACACTAAAAATATGTAGCTGTCTTTGACGTTATTTACGCATAAAATATGTATCTTTGTTATGTATTTTATTTCTCATACACTTTGGTATCATTTATACATATAATTTTATGTACATTTTGTGTATATATATTTTCTAATATAGTTTTTTTTTTTGTATACATATATTTATAATAGAACTTTAAAAGTTTCTAACATTCTAATGGAACAGCTATCACATTCATGAAACACTTTATTCTTAGTTCTTTCTTAAAGATACTGTTGTAATTTTGTATGTTTGATAATGATTTATTATATTGAATTTTATGTGTATGTCGTTTTTTCTTTTCTTTTTTCTAAATAAATATAAGCGCAACATATATTTTGATAGGAATGAAGTCTTTTTTTTTTAAATTTTAAATTTTAAGTTGCGCGAATAATTACATATTCTTTGACATTAAACGTTATTTATATTTGGCAGTGTTTCTGAAACTATTTTTTGCGAAACCAAAACTTTAAAATTCTCGGATTTCATATCTTTATATGTAAATTTCATTTTCGTATATATTACAGTTAGCATAATATATTCTTTTTAAATATTAATTAATTATTTTATGTTTTATTACATGTACTTTTGTTAACAGACTATTTATATATTTTTAATTCAGCGAATAAACTATTATATACACATATATCATATTTCTATATGCTCTTCTTATATAATTTATTCTGCTTTATATCCTTAAGCGTTTACATTTCAAAAATAAATTTATTATTTAAAAATATGTTCATTGTTTTATTATCTTTTGACGAAATGATAGGTTTAGATTGTTAAAGCTTTTGGTGACATTTTACTCTACACTATTGATTAGATTTATTGATTCCTGTAATTACTTTTGGTTTTGCATTTTAATGGTTACGCATAAAAAGTTCAAGAACCACTGCTGTATGGTATGGCATCAGGCGAGGTAGTTTACTCAACGTTTACTACACTCCTAAATATACTATAAGCATGTTTAGTTTCCCTGTCTATAGAAATTCGTGGTATTCCTAAAGAAAATAACAAAATATATACATATACGAGAAGAATATTTTTAAATATACATTGTAATTTAATTTCTTTTTCAATTAGCAACGAAATAAAAATTGATCTATTTCTCTTTCATATTTTTGACTCTTGGTAAAAACTTTCTGTATACATGTAAAGTCCATGGTAATATTAAAGATTCAACTTAAGAAATAAAACGAAATAAAATCGGAATCTAATAAAATATAAATGTTTGTAAGTTTATTATTTTTTAAGAGTGTCATTATGCCATTTTGAGACAGGATCAATAGCTTTTAAATAAATAAAGGACCATCCCGCTTAATATCATTGTTTAATGTAGAATGACGTTTATAAATGAGAAGAATCTGCTGCGTATGAAGTATGAAGCATCTTTCGATTACTCAAAAGTAATCAAGTTTTTAGAAAGTAGAGCTTACGATTTCTACGTTTATCAGCTTATGCGTTTTTTTTTTTTTTTTTCTGCCGTGCCAAGCAAAAGCTTTGATTGCGCCTGCGTGAACAACACTCTAGAGCGTGGCACTAAAATTCAACTAGCCTTAAGTAACTTTCTATTACACGGGATCCAAATACGATACGATTAACGATTTCATACAGTTCCTTCCTCTTTATCATTATTAATAGACGAATAATATCGTTTCACTAAGACATACTAGTTAACAACGTTGTTGCAGTCTAAGATTTTTCATAACAGATGAACATCACACTTTCTTTCAAATGAATACACCGATTTTATTCGCATCGTACGTGTGTGATACTACGTATACAAGAAATTATTTATTCGGCACACGTTCGTTCGAAAGAAAATGTGATATGTTTGTTGCGAGCGTATTTTTGTAATTGCAAGCATCTCTCTCGTGTCGCGTTTAGCAAGCACTCGCGGTGTGTGCAGTGTAATCTGTAACGATATGTTAGAAATGTTTCGAGTTGTCTTCTCGAACTTTGGGAACGTAACGACAAGACAAAAAACTATGCAATAATTATTTACATAGGGGTACATATATAGTTGTTCACTGACGAAGAGTTTCTTTTCTATGTCATATGATATATCATTTTTTTCTTTATATATAGGTGTTCTGTATTTCTCGTGACGTTTTGATTGATTCTTTGATTAGCAAATTCGATTTCCGTTCCTTCGCTTTCGTTACTGCGTTTGAAACGATCCCATTTGAAATTTTCAAAAAAACACTCCGATTTTTACATACAATAACTACGTAGGCGTGGTGAATTTTCAGGATTACCCTGCTACTAAATCGAAATATTCATTTATAGAATTTCTTTTTATTAACATATTTATTTGTTTCCTTGAAAACGGTTATCACGATGAATCACATTGTAACACTTTCTTGCAGAGGAATTTCTCCAAGAAATATTTCATTTAATTACACACAGCGGACAATCGTCGGATTGTCAAGAAGCAGTTACACACTCTGTCAACGAATTTGTCAACTTTTAATGGATGTAGGATTCGAAACCGTGCACTTTGATCGTCTCGTTGAAATCTTTACATGCTAGAAACTCCGAATAACGGGACCTTCAGATTTTGATTCTTTTAAACAATTTATTTATTCAAAGGCTTTTCTAAACGTCGACGAACTTGTAAAAGCGTTATTCTACGTAGGAGATTGATACGTAGCAACGAGAATCTCTTATTACAATTAAATCTCAACAAAATTGTATTCTTC